TGAAATGTATTAAAATACAATGCAGCACAAAAAGTTCATTATGTACTGTCACCATTTAGTTTTGGTTGAGAAAAAAAAACAACAAGCCACGAGAGACACCTAGGCTACAAAAGAAGAAAATAACTATAATAGGTTGTGCAAAGTACGGACCGGAAAACAGAACAAAACACAAAAAAGAAGCTTGCTGAATAGACACAGAAATTGGAAGGCAAAATAAAGATAATTGAAAAGAAAACAGATTAATGATAACAGAAAAAAAAGTGCACCAAGATAAACAAAACTCGCATGCCATAGAGATAAAAACGATGGGGCGCAGGAATAACTCAAAGCGCTTGATCGAATAAGTAACCTAAGTTTTACACCTGAAACTAACGACCCCCTAAAACTATATTTCGAAAACTAACGACAAAATAAAATCACAAATTTCACCGTACATTACATCTAACCGTACGGTCACCGTAGAGGCTTATTAATTAGTGTTCTTTGCCATTTTCACTTCTCTTTCAAGATTTTCAGTTTTTATCAAGTTAATTAAAAAATATTTTTATCCAGCTAACCCAGTGGTTCCCAACCTGGGATCTCAGGACCCCTGAGGGTCCCCGTAGGTAATACCATCTCACTAAACAAGTAAGTTTTTTAATTGCACACTCAGTTATATAAGTCTTTTGTTTGATAGTGAAAAGTAGGAGAACGAGTTAATTATTAGTTAATCAAAACAGTTTGTTGGGTAGGCGGAATCTTTCAAAAACATGGGGTCCGTGTGTGTGTGTGTGGGGGGGGGGGGAGAAATGATAATAAAAGGGGTCCTTGGTGGAGAAAAGATTGGGAACCACTGAGCTAACCTATCATAGGAGACGCAGATCACTATAGCAACAAACCCCGGATGTCTAATGTGGATAATAATTAGTGCTAGTAACATAAATATCAGTTGAATAAATTATTAACAAGAAATACGTTTCATACAGTGACACATGAGCTAACCTATCATAGGAGACGCAGATCACTATAGCAACAAACCCGGATGTCTAATGTGGATAATAATTAGTGCTAGTAACATAAATATCAGTTCAATAAATTATTAACAAGAAATACGTTTCATACAGTGACATATCTCTCACGGAAAGCTAATGTGACATAGCTTCTTTCTCTTTGGAAAATTCATAAATCTAGGAGTATGCAAGCATATTCAGTTGCATTGAGGAATATTTTCAGTTTTTTTGTGAATAGTGAATAGGCAGTAATGTATAATAAATGTTTTACAAGAAAGGCTAGAAGTTTTGTCCAGCCTAGAGCTAGTGTGCATAAAGTCTGATATTTAAGTTCGAATATGTTATGTATGTTCAAATCTAAGTATTGTTACGCCTCTAGTCGTTAATTAATTTTCCTTGTAACTTCGTTCCGACGAAACTTTAGCGACACAAGTCCTTT